TGGATCTTGAGCTCCCATGCGGATCTGCAGCACCGTGGTGAGGCAACGTCCACGACCAGGAGCTGCGCAAACTGCTCCGAGTCGTTGTCGAAGCTGCTGCCGAGCCTGGCCGAACACGCCGTACACCTGGTGCCCGTACGTGGCGGCCGCCTGCGGGGACGCGTTCTCGATCTTGAGGCAAGTGTGATACTGCTTGCTGGCCCGAGCAAAGACTCGAACACGCAAATGCGACACCCCCGACTTCTTCATGCGGGCTCCTCGAGTAGGGCGAGGACCACCTCTGCCAGCTCGAAGATCCACACCAAGGCAAGGGGCGCATCGAGCACCGTGAACAACATGCCCCCGCTTCCGAACTGCAGCAACAATGCGACGAAGGTCACGCGGTCGACTACACACAATGACACTCTTCGGCGAGATGGCCAGGCCGTCGGACACAAACTGGTCGCAAGTAGTACTGACTACCTCGGTCATGGTGCTCGTGACGGCAGCGCTCGTACCCACCGCGGACTCAGACAAGTCGTCGACCCAAATCCTCGGCTGGAGCGCCGCTGAAGGGGCCTGCTGCGCGACCCTCTCCAGGATGAAGTAAGTCATGCATCGCGCGAACCTCGTGCCCGAACTGAGCCCCTGCACGATGGACCTGGTGGGCTGGAAAGCCTCGGACGCCGCGCCGCTCATGGGAAGAACCCTCGGCGCCATGCACTGCTGGAGCTCGAGGGCGAGCACCGTCGGCGGGAAGCCGAGCCGCAGCGCCGCCCTGCCCAGCTTGACCCAGCTCATGGAGTCGTAGAAGGACTTCACGTCCAGCATGGCGTGCGCGCACGCGAAGCCGAGCGTGCTGTAGGCCTCCTCGTCGGCGGCCCTGACGAAGGCCTCGAACACCGCCGAGTTGCCCCGCGCCGCCGCGCCCCACGTGGGGGAGGTGGCGTCCGCCCAGAGCCGCACGTCATCCTCGCGCGCCTGACTCCACACACGCGCCACCATGCACATGAGCCCGATCACACGCTCGCCCCCTTGCCGCTTGGCCAAGAGCTGGCCCGTGACGAGGAGGAGTTGCCAGGGCCAGCTACCGAGGTGCTCAGCAGTCTCGTAGATCGCGAGCAGCTCGCGTAAGGCCGAGTCGGGGAGCCGCTCGATGTCCGCGGAGCGAAGCTGATCGACTCCTCGTCCAGCACGTGGCCGCATATGAGACAAAGCTGCCCGCAACCGCTGAAGGTCCAAGGACGGCACATCTCCCTCGCCGAGGTACTGCTGCAACTCGAACCAGCAGGCGTCCAGCTCGTCGCCGTCCTCAGGCTGCGGGGCCCAGAGCCCGTGCCACGCCTTGGCCTTGTGGTCGACGACGTCCCGAGGGTGGACCAGGTGGACGCCGCCTACCGTGTGTACTTCATCATCAATCTCGGGGCCCTTCTTGAGGGAGCGGAACAGCGTCGTGGTGCCGTCGGGCGTAACCATCCACTCCTTGAACTGCCTGAGGGACGCTCCGAGAGCCCGTCCTCGAGCGCGGCGAAGTGCAGCACTGGCCGCGTCGGCGAGCGCTACAACCTCGTGAGCGTCCAGGTTGCTGACAAGGAACAACTGACGCCGAAATTCCTTCCAGGTCAACTCAGGAAACCGCCTCGAGCGCTGCGAAGGTCCGGACACAGGCCGCCGTCCTGCAAGCGTTCGTCGGGCAAGAGCGGGACTCCTGCGCGCAAGTCTGCGACATTCCTGCTGCAGCCGAGGTCGCTCACGAGCGTAGTTGACCGACGCGTGCTGGGCCATGCTGAACTTGCCGAGCTTGCTGACGACTGTGTGCACCGCGGCCCACCAGCTGATCGACTACCCGCTATCGATGATCTCCGGAGGCTCGTCGACACTGACCTGGCTGACGTAACCGTCGCGTAGACGGGGCCCTGCTGCTCGTGACGCCCCTGCAGTGTGATCCGCAGGTACCTCATGATGCCGTCGAACTGCCTCCTCAACCTGCCTGACCCACTGGCTGTACTGGTGGCTGATGCCTGCGATGCCGTGACCTCCGAGGCGGTACGCGATGGAGTCGGATATCACCGTCCACGGCGCAGAGCTCGCGAAGCTCGAGGTCCGCGACGAGGCCGCTTCCTGCCAGGTGGACTCCGAGATCCAGTAGCTCGCTTCATCAGCACCGCCGCTGTGCCTCTCCTGGGGACCGAGATCAGGATCAGCATGTGCAACCGCGCTGGACACCGCCGCAGACGAGGGAACGCGGTGGGATGTCCGAGACCGTGATTGCCTCGCACAGGGAGCGGATTCCTTGCACTGATTACCGTCGGCCCCATCGACCGACTCGCGATTACCCTCGTCCACGCCACACTCAGGGTCGACTGGCCCCGTCTCGTCACCCGCCAGGGCACGTAGACACTCGGCTGAATCATCCACCTCTGCGAATGGGTCATCGTCCGCTGCATCCATACTCATACTTGGCCGCGACCGCCCTGGGTCCGCCGCCAAGGCCCGGTGCCCTTTTGTGGTCGGCGCGGGGACTGAAAAGGGCACCGGCGCCTGGGGCCGCACTGCTGGAACCGCCGCCAACAGCGGCGAAGGGCCGAACGTGGTGAAGCTGCCCGTGGGAGCGATGAAGGCGTCGGACCCGCCTGCGCACGGCGAAGGGCCCCCGCCACCGCAAGGCTGCTGGCGACTGGCCTGCTCGACGATGCTATCGAGCCCCTCGAAGTCGCCCACGGACGAGGCCAGGTCGGAGTCGTCACCAATGGGGAGGCGGGGAGGAGGAGGAGGAGGAGGAGGAGGAGGAGGAGGTTGGAGACCGCAGTGCTCGATTCAAAACGAGAACCCACCGCAGGAGGGTTGGGAACTACAGTCGGACCGAGGCGAGAAGAACATCCTTCAAGAACACGAGACCCTCAACCGGCCACCATGAGGAGCATTCGAGGGCACCCTCCCCCGGGATGCGCAAGAGCGTTCAACGAAAAGGAAGAGCATCAGGGCACCCGCCCCGAGCTGATCTCGATCTTATACCCCAGTCCGACTGCAACAGGGTGGGAAGGAAGATGGTTTGGAAAGCACTGGGGGGAAGCAGGGGTTCGGGAGGGCTCCTTTCTGCCAGGGTGGCACAGGAAGGAGGAGAGGAGATCACCCCACAGGGGTGGAGAGAGACGATGCAGGACTCGAACACACGCACACACACACACACACACACACACACACACGCACCACAGAGGCAGACAGCGCACCGATAAAAAATCCGCCGACCCAGTCGGCGCGTGAGACGCTGTCGTCGTCTTCATCGTCGTCGTCGTCGCCAGTCCCAAGGAAATCTAGAAACGACCAGAGAAAAGAAACGTCGTAGTAAAGTCGATTCCATCCCATTTTCCCTCCCTGAGAAGGGGGGGAGGTAGTACGGCGGGGGGTGCTGGGGTGGGTCCCGGGTCAAATTACTGACCACCTGCAGGGACTGGTGGCCCTCCCTCCCATCCCCCAGGCGGTCCCCCCTGCTGTGGAGAAGGGGGACAGGGGGTCTCCATGTCGGCAAGGGAGCTCAGGACCCCTCCCCCGGCCTCGGCCCCAACTCTGGCCTGGCCCCGGCTCCCGGCCCTGGCCGCAGCGCCTCTGGCCCCCCGGCCCCATCGGCACCGGACATGGCCCCCGGCCCCGGCTCCGCCCGCCCCTGACGGGACACATGGCGTTCCTCCTCCTCCTCCTCCTCCTCCTCCTCCACCTCCTCCTCCTCCGCCTCCTCCTCCTCC